TGCAGCAGCTGGAAGAAGCTGGTCAGCTAAGCAGTGATAATTTTGCTGCTGGCCTTGAGTTTGAGAATCGGGGTTTGTTGAGGTAGTTGTGTCTGAGTTTTTATCTGCCAGAGAAGAAAAGTAACTTCAGTGTCCTGGATTTGGCTTTAACTCTTCAAGTTTTCTCACTTCTCTTTTTCAGAAAGTGTTGCAGCAACTACTTTAACTTCTGTAATTGTTCCAGCTCGCTTTTAACAGTTTAACAATACTTTTGCAGCACTGAATTAGCAAAGAATAGTTGTTTATCCTGAGACTTGCCATGCAACTTTTATTCCCAGTGCCTCTGTAATGTGTTTCAAATGGGAAATTCAATGGTTAGACTGTGCTATTATCTGAAAGGTGTGTCTAGAGTGCTTGTTACATATTCATGGAAATTTTGAAATGCAGGAAGTAGAAATGCAATAAAATTACTCCTGATAGGTCATTTCCCAAAGAAATCTTCAAGACTATGTAATATTTTGTCTTGGGTTGTGTAATTTAATAAAAATAAATTAAATTTCTCTACAGGCACTTAATGAAACTTTTCTCTGTTTTAATAATCCATTTATATGCAGCAGGGTTTTGGTGTGGTTCTTAGGTTGTGTGGCAAGTGCAATGAAAACAAGATGTTCTCATCTGTCCGCTGGAATCTTTATGGGTGTTTTGTGGTGTTTATAAATACAATGGGTATCGCTGTGAACCTGCTGAAACACTCAGCCAGGGATGACTCACTTGTGAGCTGGAGTGTGCTAAATGCTCAGGCTCAAACTTCTCCAGTGGTTTCATTCTTTCTTCTCGGCTGAACTCCAGTTCTGGTTGCACGGAGGGCAGTCGGTGGCACCCTGGACCTGGGGTGGATTGGTGACCCAGGAATGGTGCAGGGGAGCTGTGCAGGCTCCTCCTGCCCTGCACTGCCCTCACAGCAGCCTGGGGAGCCTGTGGGCCCTGGGCTGGCCAGGAGGGACAGGCGGTGTTTGCAGATGGGCAGGGAGCTCACAAGTGCAGCTTCTTGCCTTGCTCTGGGAGGGGGATAAGTCATTTTTTTATTTTCAGCCTTGAGTTCATCTGTAGCAAGTTTATCGCTTTTCAGCTGTTGGAAGGAAGGATTTCCTGTTTTGTTCTGTTCCTTTACTCAGTATCTCTGATACTGGTGTGTCCTTTTGTCTTCTGAAAGTGAAAGAAGGCACGAGAAGTGCAGGTACTGTGTTTTATTTGCTGAGCTCCTGCACAGACCTCCAGCCACAGTCACAGTGTTGCAGGTTGTCCACTTTTCCAAGGAAGCACCAGAATTGAGGCAACTCTGGACAGTTTTCCTGCTGCCTCCAGGGCTTTGAATAACAGGAATGTAATTAATCAGCGTTTTTGGTCCTCAAATCCAAGGCATATTATCTTCAGTAGGAAGAAAGGTTTATTACTAATGGATAAAATCCTGGTGGGGATATTTGGGTTGTAGTTCTGGCATGTGTTGGCTTGTCTGAACAGCAAGAGCATAAAATCCTGCCTGCTTGTAAAAGGCATGGATCTAATCAGAGTGAAGTGTGTAATCACCAGATACAGAATAAGACTAGAGCTTTCTAACTCGCCTCCTGACTCCAGTGCTTGTGTTCTTTCTTCTTCTCAGTTTAAATACATTCTTATCTAGTTGTATCTGTGCTTCCCTTCAGAAATGCCACCTGCAGTTTTTCCCAGCCTGTAGCTGCTCTCTCCTGTGTATCCACGAGCTGCAGAGAGGCATTTCAGATTCCTGAAACAGGAATGTCTTGCTCTGTTTGCAGTGCTGCCTAGAGGATGAGCTGTGCCTGGTTCTTGGGACTGTTCGGAGCCTCTGTGAAAAGCAGTGAGAGCACTGAGCAGCCAGCACAGCTGCAGAGTGCCCTGGTGAAGTCTCCAGAGGGCTTCAAAGCCATTGATAGCCACCAGAATTGGCTCCAAGCTCCTGTGGAGCTCCTCTCGTGACTCAGGTGTTGGTTGTACACTCTGTGTGGTTGTGAGGACAGGTTTTGTGTGCCAACAGCTGAGATGGGATTAAAGCAGCCCTGTTTCCAAAGAAGATTTATCAGAGAAGATGTTATTAATTGATTGATTGAGGTGGATTTTTCACCCATCCGTGACCAACCTGGGCCATTCCCTAGATGTGATCTTTGCCTGTTGCTTAAGTTCTAAAAAATCCTGGAGCTGTGGCTGTCGGTGTTGGTTTTATCCTGGCCTGGGTTTGCCCCATGTTAGAAGGTGCTCTCTTGTCCCCCGCCTCAGCCCAGAATGCCACAAAGAACAGGGCACTAAGGGTGCATTTTGCTATTTCTCATCTGTTTCCTTTCTCCAGTGACTTCATTCTTGTTGTTCTATTGTGTGTTTGCTGTAGTGCCACAAAGTGGGAGTGTAACAAACCTTAATTGGCTTTTTCTGTTTGTAGACACGAGCAAGGAAGTAGTGGCTGCTGAGAGGCAGCAGTTCAGCTTGTGGGACTGACTGCAGGCACTGCCCTTTGGATCTGCCTTCGTGCCCCACAAATGCCTCTGGCCTCTCTCCAGCAGGATTTCTACACTTCTTCCTGCAGGGCACTTCCCTATGGCTCTGAAAGCAAAAGCACTCCACTCTTAAGTTTGTTCCACTTTTTAAATCTTGCCTGGATTGTTTTTTTGAAATTTGAAACTTAAGTTATTTTCAGGCAGATGCTCACTGAGCTTTGCTGTAGCATGTTGGGTAAAAAATACCTTTTAAAACTCCAGTAGAAATAGAACAAAAAGGCAAGTTGGAACATGAAGTATAAAACATGCTAACCAGCAGCCTTTGATATGTGTTCTCCTGATGTTTTACAAAAGGGAAAAAGTTTTTTGAATACTTGAGCTTCAAACTTTGGTTCTGGCTCCTTCACCTGCCTATAGGGAGCGAGGGAAGGTCTGGGCTGAGTGGGAGGGGAGGAAGGCAAAGGCTGCAGGAGAAGCAGAAGTGTCACCCCACACTGAAGGGAACCTGCCTGTTCCAGGAGATTTTTGATTCATTCTGCAGAGAGGAAGTGTTAATCATGGCAGTGATGAAACTGAAAATGGGGGTAAAGGGCGTAGTTAGAGAAGAGACTTTGGCTGCAGAAAATGCAGGTTCTGTCGCCATCAGCAGTGATCTGGTCCCTCTTACACTCCACCTTACCCTGCAAGGTCCTGCATTTGTGTCTAATTTGGGGTAAGCCTTTGGCCCAGGCCAGAAACAACTTGGGATTTAAAAACCCTCTACAATTCTTGATATTAATTGTGCTGATTGTGTCAACCTGGGTTAGAGGGCTGGGCAGCGAAGAGACTTTAAACTTTGGAGAAACAGAAAAAAATGAAAAACAAGCAGCTGGCAACAATAATTTTCTCCTGTTACTGGCATTCTGGTGTGGTGGTGTTTTATTTTCTATTTTTACCCATGTTCATTAGGCCCCAGGATCTTGTGGTCTGCCTGATGGGAAAGGAGGTGCTGACTTTTCACATTAAAAGCAAGGAGTGTTCTCAGGGCAGGGCTGCAGGAAGTGGATGAAGTGTTGGAGATGTTGGATCCATGACTCCTGCCAGTGTGTGCTGAGGTTTCCTTCCCCAGCTGCTTCTCTTGCCTGGGCTGATTTCTGCTGAAATGTTTTGAGATTTAATGGCTCAAGACGGCTTTTTCAGTCCAACCAGCTCTGATCAGAAATAGCTGAGAATAAACTGATAATCATCTTTATTGTGGAAAGCTGGCAGCCTGAACTATTGCAGGGCTGTGGTTGAATTATTGTCCCTTCTTTGGGTCAAATAAAACAAAATGCTTCCTTTTTTCCATATGAAAGCAAGGCAGAGGTGGAAATTGAGGTGAATTTTAAACCCCAGCTGTGTCCATGCTGTTTTCTGCTCTAAGAGTTAGAGAGCATAATGTATTTTGGGGTATATTAGTTCAAGTCATGTGGTCACTGGCCAGCTGGGTCTTAGGAAATAATTTGCCAAAGTTTGAGTCAGATTTTGAATGAATTCTTTTCATTAGTTATTACTTTATTTGGAAATGTCTCAGAACGATTCTTCTGCCATTTATATTAGTCTTGTATTAGTTTGCTAGACTTTTCCTTTACCCAGAAATTTCATCAGCTGGAGTCCTGAACGCCACAAAACTGTAATTTGTCAGCCCAAAGTTGTGGCCCATGAGTTGCTGCTACCAGGCGTTACAACTCTGACTTAAAGATTAAATTGGAATTGTGATTAACTGTATTATAACCCTATTTAATCTTGCAGAATCCTAAACCTTCCTTTGTGAGTATAATCAATAAATAATTTTTTGTTTTGTGACACTTTAGAAGTAGAAGAATTTTGTTTTCATAATGTAATAATTGGCCTCTTGGATGAGTTAAGTACTAGATTTAAGTACTGTTCAAGAAACATTATTATTAGTTCATACAAAATGTTGAGATGTTCTTACTGTACCAGCCCAGAATTGTCACAGGCATTGTAAATGTGGCTGATAGGGAAAGCTTTGAGTGGTGGGACTGGTGAATGGTTCTTCATACAAAGATTTTGCTGACGCTCCCTGTGTACCAGGACTATAAAAGCTGATGCCAAGCTATCTGGTCTTAAAAAAAAAAAAAAAAAAAAAAAAAGAAAAAAAGCCTTTTGCTTAACAGCCTTTAGAGGACAAACAAGTGAAGTTCTGCTGTGGTTTTACAGGTTCAAGGAAAGGTTACTTGGGCTGCTGCATTGTTATGAGTTCAGGAGAGCACTGAAATATGGTTTCAGCAGCTTTGTATAACTGGGTAAGTGCAGGTTTAGAAAGGACAGACCAAGTTTTGCAAAGAAATAACAGTTGTAAACAGAGGGATGTTCAAGACCAAACTATTTCAACTTGGCAGGTAGAAAAGTTGGCTCTTAAAAATACACTTTATTCTAAAGCACTGGATGCTTCTCAGCCCTCATATTTTCATTATTTGGGAGACAGTACTTCTCTTTTGAAAGGTCTGACTAATTATTTTCTCTCTTTCCCAGGTGCTGGAGTTTCTTTGTGGCACTGAACTTGGCCTTGAGTGTATTTTACCCAATGCAACTATTTGAAAAGTTTGTGCAACAAACCTAAGTGCAACTGACTGTATCTGTAGACTTGAAAAATCTGAAGAAACAATCCAAAAGAAACCTCATCCCGTCACTGAGCGAATCTTTGGATTCTTTTGCTGGGATGTGTGAAAGCACATAAAGCTGAAGAAGAAACAATTTCTGCTGGTGGAAAGAAAAAAAACCTAAAAATCATTTTCCTGGCAGAGGTTTTCCAGCTGAGCAGACTTTGGAGCACATGTTGGAGAACTCTACAAGTGTCCTTACTGTGATCAGGGAGCCCCCCCAGAGAAGTGCAGGCTGCCATTAGGAGATGTGAAGGAGCAGAAGGGAGGAAAGGAAAGATGCCCACGCAGCCTCTCCTGGCCTACATGGACGGACCCGAGGGAATAGCCAGCGCCGTGGGAGCCCAGATGGAGACCAGCGACGCCTCCATGACCATCAAAGGAAGCAGCACCATCTCCTACAAGAGCCTGCAGGAGAAGTTCCTGCTGCAGGCCGAGGGCTGCACGCCCCTGGACTGCATGTTCTGCGATGAGACCTTCAAGCACCCCGAGGAGCTGGGCAAGCACGTGCTGACCGAGCACAGGCCCACGCTGTGCGAGCCCGCCGTGCTCAGGGTGGAGGCTGAGTATCTCAGCCCTCTGGACAAGTGTCAGGTGAGAACCAGCTCACCTTCACCCAGCAACGAGCAGGACAGCGAGGAGCTGAGCTGCAAAGTCTGTGGGCAGACGTTTGATAAAGCTTTCGACATTGAGGCGCACATGAAAAAGCATAAAGATTCTTTCACCTATTGGTGTAATGTTTGTGGGCGAAGATTTAAAGAGCCCTGGTTCCTCAAAAATCATATGAGAACGCACACTGGAAAACCTGGTTCTAGAAACAAGCATCAGCAAGGTTCTGAAGGCCCCATAACAATAAATGAGGTGGTGCAGGAGCACGTAACTGAAAACGTAACGTCACCTTACAAAATTTGTATGGTTTGTGGTTTCCTATTTCACAATAAAGAGACTCTAATTGAGCACAGCAAAGTGCATACCAAAGAATCAGTTCCCAACGGTGAAAGCCCCCAAGTGACTGCTGAAGTCAATGCAGAAGAAACGTCTCAAAACCAGGAATTTTTCCAATTCTTGAATTTAAGACCAAATTCAGTTCCAGAAAAGGACAAACTGCAGAAGCTTGCGAAGTGGATCGCTGAGCTGGATCCTTTCACCACATATCAAGCATGGCAGCTGGCTACCAAAGGTAAAATTGCAGTTGGTCATGGGCAGATTAAAGAGCCAGGGCAAGAAGGAAGTACAGACAACGATGAGTCATCTTCAGATAAAGAAGAACTCTGTGAAATTTGGAATGCAAATAAAGGTAGCCAGGCTGAAACTACAGGGAAGTCAAAGGTAAATAAAAACAGCAGTTTCACAGGGAATGGTAACCTAACCCAGGACAAACTGAAACATCCCTCTGGTGAAGTGCCTTCTATGGAGATGGATTCGAAATCATCCCAGAACAAAGAGAAGCCAACCCACTGCTCTGAGTGTGGGAAAGCCTTCAGGACATACCACCAGCTGGTCCTTCACTCCAGAGTGCACAAGAGGGACCGGCGGGGCGATGGGGAGAGTTCCACTGCTGCCAGGACCTGCTGTGCCGACATCATTGGGAACCTGGAGGAGAACGGGGCGGCAGAGAGGATGGAGGGGGGATCTGAGGACGGCTCTGAAGATGGGCTTCCAGAAACAATTAATTTAGGTGAGTAGCACAGGGAGCACTTCAGTTTGAAGTGGCTGTTGCTGAGAGTTGTTTAGGAACTCCTTAGAGCCAAAGAATGCGTCGTGCTTTTCCGTTATCTCTGCAGAACGTGATAGGAAATGTTCAAAAACTAGACAGGGAATGTTATGGTAGGGGAAAGGGAACAGGAAAATGAGAGTGTAAGGAAGGTTTGGATGCTGCCATTTTGAGGTCTTTGAAGTTGTGTTGGGGCTTCTTGCAGTTACTGTAGTCATTGAAGTCGATTTCATAGCATTGAAATCGTTTAACAATTGGAAAAAGTCACTGTTTGCTCACCCCTTATCTCTAACTTCACTGGATGCTTTGGGGTGTTCCATATCCCTTCTCACCCAGCACATGTGTTTTACAAAGAGTATTTTATGAGAAATAATTGCAGTTTCACTTTCCTCCCCACTTTATCTTCTAAAGGCAAAAAATGTTCAGTGCTCAAACTTCTGAGGTTCTGAGAAGTAAAGAATAATTTAAAACTTTTTTCTAACTGCAAGTTCAGTGTTTGTTCTGAACAGTAATTAGAAAGCCTAGATGTCAGAACCAGCATGTTTGACTCATTTGTGTAAGGCCACAGGCTGTTAATATGTGGACCTGTATGTAAGAGAGGTGTATATTTAACTCCTCTGCCTGGGAGGATTGCTGACAGCGTGGATGGACTCCATCTGTACATTACCCAGGATTAATTCTGCGTGTCAGTGTCTTAGAAAAGCAAGTGATACTGAATGATTCCTTAATTGAAAAAGATTGCATGTCAGGGACAAAAGGCCTGGCAGAAGTCTGCAGCTGATCTGCAGTTCTGTGTGTGACATGCTCCCAGCCGGCTGTAAGGAACAGACACTTGCATAATCCCAGGGCAAGCCACGGCGTACAGAATGTCCTGGCACCCACACAGGCCTGACTTGGCCATTTCTGGTAATGTGCAGCCCTTTATTTTGCCTGCAGGAACAAAGGAATGAAGCGATTACCTCATGTGAAGTTGCTTAGTTTGTTTCTCAGCGCCTTATCCTAAAGCAGAGCAGATTTTGGTGTGAGCTGCTGAGTCACACCTCTGGAGACACAGCTGTTTGTTTAACTCACAGGCTGAGCCGTGCAGCACTTCCAGGAGAGACGCTTTCCAGCAGGCAGGAACCTCAAAGAACTCTTTCAAGTCTATTATAGATCCGACTTCTTAGTCACACCGAAGGTCTCCTTCCTCCCAGGGTTTGCAGTCAGCTGGGTTTCAATGGGAGCTGCAGCGCAGTGGCTGTGCCTGCTGCTGGTGGTGTTTGGTAAATTCTCTGCCATTCCGCTGTCCCTGCCGCCCTCCTGTGGCACCTCCTGCCTCTGCACTGCAGTGCAACTGCTTGGGCATCCCTGGATTTGTTCCTGGAATACCCGGGGCACCCCTGGGACACCCTGCCACTTCCTCACTCCTTAGTAATACAGTGAAATACTCCTCATCAAATCTAAGGAGCTTGTAGGAAATACTCCTCATCAAATCTAAGGAGTGTCTCTACAGATATTCCATTGATTAGCACATAATCATTACCATTATTAGAATTAATTTAAAACAAAAGGCATATTTGTCTTCCCTCCCCATCACTCTGTTTGACTGTCGTGCACAGAGCAGGTTTTTAGTCTGAATCATCCCACTTGCACCAATTCAAACATCTCCTTTAACAAAATAATACGGTTATAACCTGTGTGAGTATTTGAGATGGGCCATTCTCCATCAAGGTTCTGTAGGTCAATAAAAAGACCTTTTCTTCTTCTTTGAATCTTGTTTTGCATCTTGTTTGTTCTGTGGGCTCCTTGGTCACTGTCACAAACCACAGTGTTGTGGACAGAAATCTCTTTAACTCTTGTTCTCTTGTTACTCAGAGTGCAGCAAAACACAGCAAGAGTTACTTGCAGAGTGTAGAATTTGACTGCAGTTCAGAGTGTTATGTTTATCATTAAAAAATTACTGGTTTTAACAAGACTGCAAATTTGCATTTGCTCTTCATAATATGCCTGTATTTTCTCCCAAAGATAAAAATGAAGACAGTTTGGAAAGAACAAAAGTTAAAACCCTTGGGACCTCCAGAGAATGCAGCTACTGTGGAAAGTATTTTCGCTCCAATTATTACCTCAATATTCATCTCAGAACTCATACAGGTAAATGGGGGCCAGACCTTTGAGGGGGAGGGAAATCTGCTGAATCCACTTGGATAGAATGTTTGATTTTGCTTTTGAAATACAGAAACTGCCTTCAAAATTGCTGATGATAAGAACACAGATTTCTCTAATTCTAAACAAAATTAAATAATTGCAATTAAAATTTATTTGATTTTTACATAATTATAAATGGTTTTAAATAATGCTAATTGCATTAAATATTGTTAAAAGCATATATTTTAAAGTTTTTATTTTTCCTACATTTAGTGGTATAGCAAAAGTTTAGGGTTTGGTTTTAATTTAAAAAGCAGCCAATTTCTCAGGTGTGAAGTTGGTTGTCTGCCAGCTGCTGCTACCTGGGGAAAAGCTGAGTCTCTTTTTCAACTCAGCTCCGTGTTTTGCACAGGCAGACAAACCCTCCCTGCTGCTGCCTGTGTGTTCTTGGGGGGCAGCTCTGTTTGCAGCTGAGCTGCCCTGCTGGTGTTGGGAATAGGGCACTTGTGGGGTGATCAAGGATGTTGGGGTTGACCCAGAGTTCCACTCCTCGCTTATCTCTGCCAAGCACGTTGTCAGCTCCCATCTCCATCCGCAGCCAGCGTGTGGAAACATCCCAGCACAGCCAGAAGATGTCACTGTAGTTAGTAAAAGCATTAAGATACTGTTGTTTAAATGTTTTACATGAGTTTGGCACTTAGGAGTGTGTGGAAGGGGAGAAAAAATCGGTTTTAGTGTTTGAGTCTACAATGTTCCCTTGTGTTTGTGATCAGGACTTCAAATCTCAGAGTGATTTACTGATGAATTTGTGTTGCAGGTGAAAAGCCGTACAAATGTGAATTCTGTGAGTATGCAGCAGCCCAGAAAACTTCCCTGAGGTATCATTTAGAGAGACACCACAAGGACAGGCATGGTGACAGTGCAGCTGATGGGAAGGGTGACAGCAAAGGTTCCCTGCGGGGTCAGGAGACGGCGCTGTCGCTGGCTGCTGATGCTGCTCCAGAAACCAAAAATCTGAAGAGGCTTTTTGATGGTGCCAAAGATGCTGAGAGCTGCCCACCTGCCAAGCAGCAAAAGGAAGTTCTGTCCTTGAGCAATGCAATGGGCAGCACAGTCTTTTTAAAAGTAAAGAACAATTCCAGGGAATTGAACAAAGGTTCTATTTGTAGCAGTTTGAATCAAGTACCTGAGAACGTGCCCACTCCTTACCCGGAGAAACTAAAGGCTGAGAAGGAAACCAAGGAAGCCCAGCCTAAAAGAGAGAGAAAGGCTTCTGTGGCCTCAGAGGAAGATGATGTCCAGTACATCTGTGCTTTTATTGGTGGGAAAAATGTGAACAATATGCAAGAATGCACCGAGAACTACAGACGCAGACCTGTCGTGGACTGTCACGAGCAGCCCTTGGACTTGACCAGCAAGACTTCCCAGGAGTGTTCAGTGATTGCAAGCAGAGGCCTGCTGGCCCCCAGCACCTGCCCCTTCTGTACCTACAGGACATTTTACCCCGAGGTCCTCATGATGCACCAGAGGCTGATGCACAAGTACAACCCTGACACTGTCAACAAGAACGGCTACAGGAGCAAGGCCGTGGCCAAGGCGCGGCGCACAGGCTGCCCCCCGGCCCTGCTGGGCAAGGACGTGCCTCCTCTGCCTCTCCATCCCAACAAAAACAAGGCTTCCACAAATCCACAGCAAAAGCCACTGCAGCCAGGGAAAGCCAAGCAGTGTGCCCCTCCTCAGAACAAAGCCCCTCTCTTCTCCGCCAGCGAGTCGAGCAGCACAGCCCCGAGTAACCTCAAGTTTCACAAACAGCAAAGCAACCTTGGAGCTCAGGCAAACAACTACAGACAACCTCAGCAAGAAGAAGTGCACTCCAGCTTCAGGATCTCTCCAGTACTGGACAGAGTAAAGAAATCTGACTATAAAATCAAAGTTCTGGGTGCCCCAGTGACTCAGTCTGGTCTGGTCAGCAGCAGCATGAATGGGGTTCTGGAATCTCACCTCAGTGAACCTGGCTGGGCTTGCCAGCGAGGCAGAGACTATCTCTGCAGTAAATCTGGGAGCAATGCAAGTCTGGACTATGGAGAAAGCTCTTCCAAACGGATGAAACCCTCTGTGGCAGCTGTGGAGCACCTGGACTCTCCTCTGGCTAATTACAGGAGATACGAAATGAGCAGATTTCACGTTGCAAACAGATATGCAAATCTGCTACCTCAGGAATACCCTCGCACCAAACCCACATCCTCTGTTCTGCCAAGCAAACAAGGGCTCCTCAGTGCAGATGATGCTGATCCTCCCAATGGATTGACTGCTCTCAAACCCTACGAGCCATACAGCTCTGGGTCACTTTATGGTTCTTGTGGGCCTAGCAATGGCCAGGTCAGCAGCTCGACAGGAGAAGGTACAGTCCCTCCTCCCTCCTCTCACACCCCTGCCCAGGGAGGGGAATGGGATGTAAATGAGTGTGTGCCCACCTTGGAACACTGAAAATACAGCTGTACTTAGCATTTCACCAGGCTCAGTCAGTGCTTTTAAACTTAACATCCAGGTTCAGCAAACTCCTGGCTTGGGGAATTAGTGTGGAAGGGCTGAATTTTAAAGAAGGGTCTGTAGTTCCTCAGGTTCCCCCTTTCCCTCTGCCATGGGTTTCTGATGGCAAACATGTATTGTTTGCTCATCAGACCACTCCAGACATGTTGACTAATCCAGGATATGGAATGAGACTCTCTGCTTAATGTGCCAGAAGTCTTGGACCATCTGGAATATTAATAAAACTTTTTACCAAAAAAAAAAAGAACTGCTATGGACAATTGTTCCCTTCAAGAGCAGAAAGGGATGTATTGCAGATCATAAAACCGATGTAAATTTTGGACTTCTGCTCTTCAATGGGTTTTTTTTTTTATGTTTAACTTCTAGTAGGAACAGAATACTTTGTTAAATCAAGACAACAGATTTCTGCTATTCTAATTATGGTGCAGCAATGCTCTGTGGAAACTTCTGGGCCTAGCAGAGATAAATGATTTGTGATGTATTGGGAGAACTGTGGTACTTCACAAAATACATGCTTCTTGTGTTTTGTCCTTGGTCAACATTTTCGAAAAGTCAGCAGGAGGCCGAGATTAAAAGGTGCTGGGTGATATTTAAGCAGTTGTCTGACTATTTGTAGAAGGTGGTATTTATGACTTGAAGCTGAGCTCAGCATGGACTTAGCTACAAATACAGGACTTTGAATTTTGAGACGAAGATCCCATTATAAAAATGAATAGCCTGTGTGGGCTGTGTAGTCTGAAAGTCTGTGAAGTTCCTGAACTCTGAATGCTCCCATTCTCTGGAAGCAGTAAAGTTGCTCCTCTGCAGTAGTCTGGGATGGTGACAAGCAGGGGTGTGTTCCCTCAGGTCAGCAAACTGCAAATACTGAACCCACTTTTAGTTATGAGGCAAAAAAGTATTTGCTCACTCTGTTCTGGTTTTTGTTTGCTTGTTTTAAGGTTGTGGGCTTCAAAAATATATCACCTATAAATAATTTCTGTTTATATATAAATATGCAGCTTTCTTGGTGGGTTATGGGAAAGGTGAGGGAAGGTGTCACAGCTGTGTGCCCAGGCTGGGCAGGGAGTGGAGAAGGAAAAGCAGCAGAGCTGGGTCCCTGAGGGGTGAGGAAATGGGGTTGATTCCTGCTTTGGCGCTGGGCTTTGGCTGTGCAGGTCTGTGAGGAATGCTCACTGGGCACTGGGCTGCCCAGGAGGAGCACAGGAGTTGTGGCAGGGATCAGTGAGAGTGTGGCGGTGCCCCAGCGTGGGCCAGGGCAGCTGCTGCAGGAGCAGCTCTGTTTGTAACAGGGACTCCTCTGCAATCCACCTGGCTCTTCCTTTGGAAGCTCCACCTGTGCCAGGGAGGGCTCCAGGCTGGGCTTTGCCTCCTCTGCCCTGGTGCCAGCCGGGAGACGCTGCCCTGCAGCCCAGAACTTTGCACTGGGTTTGTTCTTTAGAGCCCCCAGAACGGTGGCTGCAGCTAATTTGACAGCATTGTTGTCATGGAAATGAGCATTTCATTGTTCATTACCCGGTGCTGGCTCCGGGTGAGAAAAGCAACTTTTTATGGCTGTTAGTGGATTGGAAAGGCTCTGAAACAAGCCCCTCTCTAGTGGGTTTTCATAGCAACTTCCATAAAAGCCCTGGGCTAGAAGATGTGGGTTTGTAAGGGTAATTTCTTGATTTTTCAACCAATTTGCTCAGAAGTACCCAACCCAAACCCTGATAGTTACTGAGAAGGGTTCAGGGTAACAGCCAAGCCACCTCTCAGTGTCTGAATTTTATCGTGGGTGTAGAGCAGAGATAAAAATTTCTTTAAATTCTTTTTATTTTTCGTTAAAAATATGAAACCCAACAGTTTCTGTAGACCTCAGCTGTGTGATACCATCTGCAGAGCTGTGCAGGTGCAGACCTGCAGCTTTCTGCCCTCTCCTCCTGCTGAACCCTGCTGATTTCATAATCCACGATGTCAAAACCTTTTTGTGAGGGCCCGTGTGCCTTGTGGCAACATCCCCGTGGTGCCCCCACCGTGTTCTGTCGCATGTTAAATGCTGGATCAAGTTGTCAGGAGAATATGTTCCACTTGGCAAACTTGATTAAAGCATGATGCCTTCCCTTATTGCTTGTAAGCTTTGCCATCCCGTGTTGCCCTGAAGAGACAGAAACATTCTGAAACCACTCAGTTTGTGTTATTCTCAAATTAGTTGCCTTTGCAATGGCAACATGTTATCAGGGATAACCTGTTGGCTGATTGATTTGGCAGAGGCTGCAAATTAAAGACAATTGCTCGCGACACACTCCAATGGCTCCGTGGATTCTGTTGAAATATTAATTTGGCTGTGCCATTTTAATTTAATTAAAGATCAGGAGGGGTTTTTTCAGTGCTGCACTGGAAGCTCTCATGGAATATGGATGGCAGTTGGGTTTTTTGGGTCCTGTGGGAGAAATGATTCTGGACTTTTTGCCTTCATTTTATGAAGTGTTTTTGACTGCTTGCCTAAGCTAGTAAGATTTAATATGGAACAGGCATTGATTTCACATCTATAAATGTGAATTAATGGTCTCAGATAAACACAAAACTACCTGTAGACTAGACTGAAAATTGCTTAACAAAGGTCTGCAAGTAAATTGTATTAACACTCTTTAAGGTGTCACGAGTTCCATGTAATCCTCCATGGCAGCAATGAAGTACCCCAGTTTGCCTCTCAAATACTCACTGAAAAATTCAGTTTTCAAACAATGAAATGATTTTCAAACAATGCCAATGATTTAGGCATTAAGGGTGCAGCACTTAGACCTCCTTAGGTAGAACATCTGCTGTGGGATGAGTTAAGCGAAGACATCACTTGGATAAAATTCAGCCCAAAGTTGTTAAATTATCTTTTCATTCTCCTTGTATTTATTCTGTATCCTGAATTTCCTATAATAGGAATATCTAGATTTTTAAGTCTGATTGTGAGGTGATTTGTCAAGGAATTTTGGATTCTGGATGATGCTGTGGACCTGAGAGGAGCAGGAAATAATGCTAACTCCCTTAAATGTTTTTTTTTTTTTCCAGGAAAGAGATCAGTTTCATACCAACCCTTACCCAGCAACCTGCTGCAGAAGAGAAGTTTTGAGCCCTTTGTGGGGAACTCACCCTTCAGACCCAGTGACAAGAAGAACTGAATCACTCCAGAACGGTACACAAACCTCCTGAACTAATTGTTCCTTAAACATTGCATGGGGTGCTGATGGCATCAAAGGTTCCTGCACAGCATGAGGAGAGCTCGTGAAAGTTTGAGCCTGAAAAGATAAAAATTTCCCCTTTATAAAATCACCAGATGCTGGGGGAGCAGCTCTGATTGTTTGGAGCAGTGGTAATGGCTTCTTTGATAGGTACAGGATGCTCCTTTTTGAAGAGAAACAGGAGATAAATGCATGAATTAGTTCCAATTCCAGTGGGAGGTGCTCAGTGAAAGCCAGGCCGTGGAAGCTCCGTCAGCCCTTGAGGGTGGAGCAGCAGCAGTGAGGGAGGTGCCTGTGGGGGTGACAGGGTTGTGGTGCTGGGGGTGTTGGCTGGGCCCCCCAAAGGTGCAGCCCCTGCCCACTGTGCCCTGCTGGGCACTCAGGGCTCCTCAGAGCCCAGCTCTGGCTCCAGAGGGGAGGGAGACCTTGCTGAGCCTGGGCAGCTCCTCCCTGTGATCCAGAGCTGTCCCTGGTGGATTTCCCTGTGATCCAGAGCTACCCCAGGTGGATTCCCTGTGATCCAGAGCTGTCCCAGGTGGATTCCCTGTGATCCAGAGCTGTCCCAGGTGGATTTCCCTGTGATCCAGAGCTATCCCAGGTGGATTCCCTGTGATCCAGAGCTACCCCAGGTGGATTTCCCTGTGATCCAGAGCTGTCCCTGGTGGATTTCCCTGTGATCCAGAGCTGTCCCAGGTGGATTCCCTGTGATCCAGAGCTGTCCCTGGTGGATTCCCTGTGATCCAGAGCTGTCCCAGGTGGATTCCCTGTGATCCAGAGCTGTCCCAGGTGGATTTCCCTGTGATCCAGAGCTGTCCCTGGTGGATTCCCTGTGATCCAGAGCTGTCCCAGGTGGATTTCCTGTGATCCAGAGCTGTCCCAGGTGGATTTCCCTGTGATCCAGAGCTGTCCCAGGTGGATTTCCCTGCTTGGCAGAGGGAGGGAGGTCAGGTGGAAGCTGAGCCTGGTGCTGTGAGTTCATCTCAGGGCTGCAGCTGGATCTGAGACTCCACACCCTTCACTGCTCTGCAGGACTGGAAATAAATAAATAAATCTGTTGGCCTTTTTCTAACCCAGAGCTACAGATAATTTCCTTTTTAAGGGGAACACTTCAGGAATATTTCTGGAATGCTGTAGCGCCTGGGTCAGCACACGTGATTTTATTGAAAGATTTTGGGAGCAGGGCTATCTAACATTCAGTTGACAGCTTTTAAAACACTTTCATTTATTGGTATTCTTCTAATCTTACTGCTCTTACTGTCCTACTAGACGTAGGTGTGTCTGGTTCTGTTGTTAACTTGATTTCATGCCTGAGATTCTTCCTGGGGCTGAGCATCTTCCAGAGTAGACTGTATTTGCCAGATAAAAGCTGGCAATCCAGACTTCCATGGCAGTATCAATTCTTTAGCAAGGATGTGGAAGAATTCCCTTTGTTATAAAGACACTCCTCCCAGCAAAAACTGTGCTGTATTTTAGAGCTGTATACCAGAAATTTATATTTATTTCTCTTTTTTCCCCCCTCCAGGTCTAAGGATACAAGTGCATATTCCATGGAGTTATACCTGCAGTTCATCCCCTGAGGAAGAGAAAATGGTGAAAGCTACTGAACTAAGCTGTGATTGTACTGTATATAGAAACACTACAGTTTTATAATATTGGTTCTTTTAACATTTTGTACCAAATAGCCATACAAAAGTAGTCTAAACAGTTGGGTTATGAAGGTGTGTGGAGAATGTATATCTTGACCTTGACTTTTGAGTATTTTTCATTAGAATTAATTGACCAAATATTAGGTAGGAGTTCTATTTTTACATACTTGAGCGCTGCTGAAGAGTTTCTCTTGGAAAGAATATATATCGTTGCACCTCAGGTAAACTGTAAATATTGAAGTTGAAAATCCTGTTGGCGTAATGCTCCTTTTTCATAAAAGTGAAAGTTTCTCATCTGTTGGTTTTTTTTTTCCTGTTGAACTATGTTAGTTTTTTAAAAGTTCCAAATAAACTGTCTGAAAGTGTCCTGTTTATAAATGTTGTGGACATGAAAGCAACGGTGCTGACATTGATCTGCCTTGGCTGGGCGAGGACCAGGCCGTGCTGGAGGGCTCTGCTGCCCTGGGGCTCTTTGCAGCACGATTGAAATGCAAGCATGAGGCAATACTTGACATTTTGGATTTCCTGAAATGTGGCTGGATGATTCTCTTGGCACTGGTTGCTGTTCTTCAGAGAAGCCTCTTAAAAACACCTCTGCCACCATGCAAACAGAAAATCCCTGGGACTCGCTGGAGAAACAATGATAATCTCCATGTTGCAAATGTTCGGTTCTGTACTAAGCTCCACACAGTCACATTTCAAGAAAGAAAACTCCTTTGCACCTTTGTCCAAAGCTGTAAAGTCTCAGTAAGAGCCTTGAAATCTGAATTTGGGTTCTGCAGACTGCAAAAGGGATGTGGCTGTGATGGAGCCTACTTGACTGTGCTTGGAAGCTTCTTGATGTCAAGTTTTAGCATCTACTGGGTGTTTAAAATGAGTGAGAAATAACCTGTAAATGGGAGAATATCTCCTTTTATTTTTTTGTGAAGACAACAAGAGTTTTTTCTAATGCACATGCAGTTTAATTTTTGTAAAGGGAAGATGGCCAGTTACCAGCCAGTAAAGCAGAACTGTTGCATTTTTAACTTGCCTTCCTTGTTTCTTCTCATGAAGTTGTAGTTAAGAGTTAATTCCTTCTGTACCTGGCTTTGACTTCCATATATTTTAGTAAAACAAAACAATTAAATATTTTGCACTGTTTGTTTTTCTCTCTTCCCTCTTAAAGCAAATGTAAAATAGCAAAACCTAGAAACTCTTGTTTTTTCATTATGCAACTTGAGATGTTCCAGTTGTCTTGGTTCCTGTAAATGGGACTGGTTTTTAATGTCTCTGTAAACTGGCAACGGAATGAAGTGCTGTGTATCAGGAAATTGTACACTATTGACCTGTTTTCCTGTTCATAAGCTGAGCCATATGTACATAATCTAGATTTTTGTTTTCCTAGTTTTGCACTTTTATAGCCTATTTTTGAAGATGAATTCACTTGGAAAAGGGTTAATCTATTTTTGTGTGTGATCTCTCCCTGTCCCGGCGGTGCTGTGCCACAGGGGCAGTGCTGCTTTTTAACGTGTTGCAGCAAACAGACCTAAGGCTTGTTTGTTTTTAATCTCCTTCTTGCTGGTACAGTTTCCCTCAAGGCTTTTGTTGGGGTTGGAATGGAAAAATGGACCTGAAGACTCCATTCCATGGCAGCATCACCACACTTTGCCCATCAGTATTAACTATTGGGATACTACTGGTTTTGTATGTTCCTTTGGAAATAGCAGTGCGTATATAGAGGTACAAATTGTTGATTTTTTTCCTTTTTTCTTTTTTAAATGTATTTATTTCATTCCATTTTGTTCTATTTTAATTGTTGGAACCGGAAGTCGGCAAGCAGCAGGCACACATTACTCATTTAATTTATGATGTATTTCACTTTAGTTGAGTATATTATTACATGTGGATGTAAATATAGACTTGGTGTTTTGCAAAACTGGTTTCTGTGTCTTGCTTTTAAGGCTTAAAAGGAGTTGCCTGGAATTTCATGTTCACTTGACCTTTCACCATTCTCGCATTGCTGGGGGAGAGGGAGAAGCTGCCAATAACCAAATCCAAATTCATGTTCAGTTTCATGAAAATACTGAGTCACTCCCCAGAAAATCTGTCTTGAAATAAGGAAGAAACTTTTGCTTTCTTCTCTTGCAGTTCTTTTCCTTCAGGAAAGGAAACTGAGTTATTAAATGCGTTTTTTTTTGATAATAACATTGAGAGGAGCATTAATTGTGTTTTTTATTGTGAGACTTCATAATTTGTATTAAATTATTATGAAGTTTTTTAAACCAAATGTGTTCTGCAAAATTTTCTAGGTCTGTTTTGTTCTTGGAACTCTCCTGAGGTGCCAGACCTCACCAAGCGCCTCTGACCGCACCTCAAACTGAAATGATCAGCTTGGAAGGCACCTGGGGAGACTGCTCCAAGGCAGCTCATCCCTGGGAGAGAGGGATTTCACCAGTGAGAGCCCCAGTGTGAGCCAGCCCCATTTGGGGGCACTAACGAGGGGGCACTAACGAGGGCACAGCTCCTGCACGTCCAGGCTGGGCTGGGCTCTTGGTTTAACAAAAGCAATGCTGCTTTTGGGGTGAAGCCTTCCAAATGTGGGAGCTGATGGCCAAAAGGATGTGGAAATGCAACGGTGAGTCCTGCCTGGGCTGTGGGGTGCACTTGGGGTCTGGAGCACCACTGGGGTGGGTCCCAGGGGCTGGGTGGCACTGCAGGGTGAGTGTGAGCCCTGCGGCATCACCAACACTTGTTTCAGGGCTCTTTCTCTCTGCTTTTAGCAAGTTGTCCCTTTAGATCCATCTCTGGCTGCTCTGTGTCCTGAAATTGCAAGGAAGCAGCTCGTTCTCACTTAGGAGGAAGAGCTAATATTAAACCAGCAAACAGTTTCTTCTCCCCCTTTGTGAAAAAGGAAAATATGCAAGTGCTTTCCCGAGCAGATTTCTCTGTTCATTTGCACACACTTGAGAAAAGTGCATTTAATTAGGATTAGCAAGTCTCTAAATTGCAGATGGTTCTCAGGGGAAAAAAATAGTTATGAGTGCATTCATGACATTAAAATCAGTACATTTAATTCAATTTCATCTTAATATTAATTCATAACATCTAAAGTAGTAGTTCCTACTGAAGATATTCATATGATCCAGGATTAGTGGGGCAAATGAGATCTGGCAGTTCCAAGCAGGCTGCAGCATGATTACCACGTGTAATTATGCAGATTGGGTAATCACGTGCTAATTGCAAGGATGCCCACTTTGACACGTGGGATCTGGAACGGGGGTCAGGTGTGTGATCAGCTTTGTTTGGTTTGGAGCTCTTTGTTGGTGGGCACAGAGTCCAGGAATGGGTCAGGGGTGAAATGCAGCAAAAATGAGGAGTTGGGGAGCGGCTGGAGCAGAATTCCATGAGGAGGCTGCAGGGATGAGCGTCACAACCACGGAATGCTCTGGTCAGGCTGCTGCTGCTGCCCCAGGCTCTCCTTCCTGAGGGATCCAAAGGGGAAGGTGAGGTGTCCTCACTGTGGGATCAGCTCTGTCTGGGCTGTCCCAGCAGCTTTTTATCCTCCCATCTGAGTGAAATCAAAGCGCCCCAACCCACCCCAGCCCTTTCTGCAGGACAGGAGATCTGGATTTTGGGAATCATATTCCCTCTCCAGAAGTTTCCCCCTTTGCTTCCCTCCATTTACACCTTTTCCCAGCGCTCAGAGCTCCATCCTGCAGCCTCCAGGAGCTCCCCTGGGCTGTTTTAACCCTCCCAAATATCCCTGAGCCTCCGGGGATGCAGAGAGGCTCCCTGCGCTCGGTGTGTGCTGCATCCCGAGAGAATCCCAGCGCTGGGGGGTCCAGGGGCTGGGAAGGGCTCTGAGAGCAGCATTCCCGGTGCCAGGGCTTTGGGAACAGCATTTCTGGTGCCAGGGCTCTGGAGCTCCATTCCCATGCCAGGGCTCTGGGAACACCATTCCCATTCCCGTGCCAGGGCTCCAGATCTCCATTCCCATGCCAGGGCTCCAGAGCCCCATTCCCATGCCAGGGCTCCGGAGCCCCATTCCCATTCCAGGGTTCCAGATCTCCATTCCCATTCCAGGGTTCCGGATCTCCATTCCCATTCCAGGGTTCCAGATCTCCATTCCCATTCCAGGGCTCCGGAGCCCCATTTCCATGCCAGGGCTCTGTATCTCCATTCCCATTCCCATTCCAGGGCTCCAGAGCCCCATTCCCATTCCAGGGTTCCGGATCTCCATTCCCATGCCAGGGCTCCGGAGCCCCATTTCCATGCCAGGGCTCTGTATCTCCATTCCCATTCCCATTCCAGGGTTCCAGATCTCCATTCCCATTCCAGGGCTCTGTATCTCCATTCCCATTCCCATTCCAGGGTTCCAGATCTCCGTTCCCATTCCCATGCCCGGGCTCGGGTCTCCGTTCCCGTTCCCGGGCTCCGCAGCCCCGTCCCCGCTCCCGGCGCTCCCCGCCCGGCGTTAGGTGGCGGTGTCGGCCAAGCAGCGGCGCCGCAGCCGCGTCCCGAGCAGCGGCCGCTGTAAATTCCCGAATTAATCCGGAATGGCACAAAAGGCGCCGATGGAGGGAGGCTCTGAGCCCCTCAATGATCGGGAATTGCGGCATCACCCGGAGCTCCAGGCGCGGGGAGATGAACAGGAGCAAACCCCTCCATCCTGAAAGGTTATCCCGCATTTTCCCTCCTCTCCCCATCGATATTTCCTGAAATGTGTTGCATTTAGCTGCTGGCAAACATTATTTGTGCCTGCAGCTAATGAAGGGATGTGGCTGCAACGTGGGACAGGACAGAACCTTCTGCATGAGCAGATTCAGCCACATAAATAATTGTGGGCCACACTGGCATTTAAAACTCATTTTGCTCATGTAAAATGTTTTCATTAATCCTCTCTGAAAGTCATGACCTAATTACTGATTTTTTGTCTTGTTGAATAATTGCAAAGAACTTTCCTGTGATTTCATCCCTTCAGTGGAACAAGTGGGAAAGAGTGAACGGGCAGAGCCTGAGCTATCCATGAAAGCCAAGGAAACCACAGGCTCCTTGGTTTACTGAGCATTCTGGAAAATCAGGAAAGAGCTTGCACTTAAAGCAAAAAAATAATTTTAAAAAATCACATTTTGTCATGAAATATTATTTCAGTTTAGGGTAGTTCTGAATTTTTGATATATATATGTATGCTCTCAAAAGTCTAATTAAACATTGCTAAATAAAGTAGATCTGAGCAAACCCAATGAAATTTTAATGTCAAAGTTGAGCATAAATAGTTTGGGAAAAGTGAAGATCAGAACCCAGTGAAATGATAATTAATGCTGAAATACATTTTCACCAAACTTGATTTATTTTTGCCTTCTGTTTCTTTACAGCCCCTCCACCCAGAACTCCTGAAATCTCCCAGCTTTGCACAGCAGGCCAGGACATTTCCTGCCCCTGGGACGGCTCCTGCTCCAGCTGATGGCTCTGGGCTCTCCAGGGAACATTCCCAGGCTCGGGTTTGGGGTTTTTCCACCTTTGTGGGACACCTGCCCCGTGCTGGTGCTCAGGGAGGGCTGAGGATGAGATGGGCATTATTTCATTTCAGTTTTCCTGTGTTTGGGGCTGGATTTCTGCTCTCCCCCAGCTGTTCTGTGAGGTTCAGAGGTAATTGAACTCAGCATTTCTCTTCAAAGTGGGTCTTGTTAAAGTCTCTTTTGGCAGAACCTAAATCTGGGCCTTTGACATTTTGACAGAATCTGTTTTCA